CAATCTCAACTTGATCGCTACCAGTAATAATGAAGTCATCAATAGACCAGGAGATAGATGCACTGGCCAGAAGAGCTATGCCTATAGAAGACAGAATGATCGGCTTTACTTCTGGTTAAGCCAAAGGATTGAACAGCAAAACTAAAGCGACTAAACCAAGCTTGAGGGGACTGCGTCAGGCCATATAAAGATTTACGAAGCTTACATACCATTCCAGAATTCTCCCCCTGAGCAACAAAACCTGGTGGTTGCTCCATCTATACTTCCTCTTGCAAGTCACCATGTAAGAATGCATTTTTGATATCAAGTTGTAGAAGAGGCCATTGATGAATGGAAGCAAGTGCAAGAAATAGGCGAACAGATGCCATCTTGGCAACAGGAGAAAAAGTATCCCCATAGTCAAGACCAAATATCTGAGTGTATCCCTTGGCCACCAAACGAGCTTTGAGGCGATCAACAGTGCCATCAGGACCAACTTTGACAGTGATCGACAACCGACAACCGACAACTGACTTTCCAGGAGAAGCATGAACAAGATCCCATGTGTCATTAGAGTGAAGTGCTTGCATTTCATCAATCATCGCCTGACGCCAACCCAGATGAGATAGTACTTCACCTCTGTTTTAGTAATAGAAACAGACGAAATACTAGAAACAAAAGTAAATGTGGTGAAGAAAGTCTATCATAACTCAAGAAACTATAAAGTGAATGAAGGTTACGAGTGGATCGAATACCTTTGCGAAGGGCAATGGGAGTGATCTCTGATGGAGGACCCGGAGGGGGAGAGTCGACAGCAGTAGGCAGTGAGTCAGTAAGGGTCAAATCCGCTGGAGGCGCAGTTTGATCAATTTGAAATATCGGCAGATGTCTGACCCTTACTGACTTAGTTGATCGACTTTTCCCATTCAGATGTCTAATCCTTTGAAATATCGGCAGACTTAGTTGTGAGATATCCCTGATCAGTAAACCAGATCTTAACTGAGGTAGACCAGGTCTTGTAAGTAGCAGATCCGGTCAGTTTCATCGTTGTAATGGATGGGGTAGTACTGAAGATGATGCCAGTAGTGTTTTTGGATGCATTACCAGAGCCCTCCATCACAAAAATAAAAGAGATGACCAGATCTGAAAATAGTAGAGGAAGGCGAGTTGTTCTGCCTCGGAATGGCCGGAAAAAGACATGTGAACAGTACCTGTACGGACGCGGTGAACAGTGGTCCGTACGGACACGGTGAACAGTGCCGTGTGAACAGTAACGTCAATGAACAGTGTAGAACCAAGCCGGAGGGACGCACGGCGTTAGAGGAAGGAGAGAATGCCTAAGCAGTGGGCTTAGGGTTTTAGCGGAAGCGAAAATTCCCAGAACAAAGAGCTCTGATACCAAATTAGAATGTATGAATGTATTGTATTTAATTGTGTATAGAACTGTACAAAAGACCTCTATTTAAAGAGGTTAAATGACCTAATGGGCCAAGACCAAATAACCTGCTAGAATAACAGAATAATAAATAATACAATGCTATTTAATATTATATTATTTCTAACAGCGACAACAGCAACTGTTGCCACTGCGGTGGTTGTAGGTGGATTTATGTTGCGCTACATGCGTTCATCATGGATGGGAATCAAATTTTACTGAGTTTCCACAGATGGTGCCAATGTTCGATCCACGGGGATCGAGTGTCGAATCAAAAATTGGTGAGTCTATGTAGGATCAATATGCTCTCAAATATCTATGAAAGAGAGATATCTTAGAAGGTCGCAAATCATTGTGCACTATGATGGGTGGCATATCCAGAGAGTGGGGTGCGTGTGCATACTGACAGCTAAGAGAAAGAGAGCATAAAAATGTGTACCTGGTTGACTTAACCCTTTTTTTATAGGTGGATTACCTAGTAGAATGACATTTCAGGCCTCATGGGAATATTAGGGGCCCAATATTCGATCTACTAGTGATATGATAAGATTGATATCTTATCTATAGATTATTTCTTTATCTCTCTTAGGTGATTGTCTGTTGTGGGTTATTAAGATATGAGCCCATAAGATGTGTCCATAACAGGTACCATGTTAAATTGAGATGAAATGAAAGACTAGTGAAATATATGTCTCAACTACACAACGGGGTCTAGATTATATAGCTAAAGAATAATAAATACATAATAAATATAGATATTGTGATATGATCCTATCCTAGTCAGCAAACGGTTTAGAAGGGTGCATAGAAGGAAGAGAAGCAGGGGAATATTGCATAATGCTGAGTCAGCAAAAGTTGTTAGGAGCAAGTCACATTGGATGGCATGGGGTCATATTGGGTAAGTTGGTACTATTTAGATGAGGGGTTCAAAATTCTGAAGGGGAGCGGGAATCTTAGTAGTGACTGGGCCCTTTGGGGATTGGGAGAGAGTGAGACCTCTAAAATTGTCTTACATTTAATTTCCCTTCCAAGTTCAGTGTAATTTTCCTTGTTTCTTCAATTGTCTCTGTCAAATTGTCTCTATTTGTAGTCGTCTTTGATGAATATATGGAAAACTGATTATTCAGGCCAAAATTCTCTTATTGTTTGCTGATATATCAATATTTGATTTGTTGGTTTCCATCAATGGGCATCAGAGCTTCTAGATCGAAGCTCTATGGTATGGCCGCTACACGAAACATGGAGAAACGAATGGATGCTGTGGAGGTGGAGCTACGCAAGAACAATGCAAGACAGGACTAAGTACTGCGGAGGTTGGAAGCTAATGAAACGAGAGTGGCTAAGATCATCAGGAGGTTGGATAAGATGGCTAGGAGACGAAGGAGCCGTTATAGAGGCGGAGATAGAGAATCGGAACGTCAAAAATCATATTCCAAACTAAAGCAAAATTCTATGTCGAAGGAGACAGAGATCGTTGAAGAGAAGTATGAAATAGTGATCACCAGAGAGAAACAACCGCTGGAGAAGGAGGCTGTCAAAACCAAAAAAAAAGAGGCAAGGGGGAATTCGTGGCAACAGATAAAGGTCAATCACTCGATTTGGTGATGACAAAGCAAGAGGAAGAAGTGCTTGTTAGAATAGGTGAAAATTTTAGGCAAACAAAGGATGTTGTTGAAGTGGGAGAACCAGTGACATCACCACCAGTCCACCACCAATGACATCACCAAATTCACCACCACCAGTGGTGGTTGTTGACCAACCACCGTCGCCAAACCCTCCGGATGTAATTCTTCTTGTGAGGATGGGGTGTTTTGTGAACTGCAAACCAAGAGGAAGAAAACCAAAACTTGAATTGCAAACGGGATCGGTCTCGGAGACGTCAGACACCATAGAAGGAGAAAAAACACTCATAGTGAAACAGAAACACAGGATTTTTGGAGTGTGGTTGTGAATGGAGTCTACTACTGCAAGGACGAAAAGGAAAAGATGATAGGTTAGAAATGAAATCAAATAAAAAAGATCCGACCCGGTTTAGAATCAAGTGTGACCCAATTCAATCTAAAAACTGGGGCATATTTGTCTCAGTCTTAAGTGAAGCCCTAGGCTAACCCAGAAGCAGTGAGGGATCAGATTTTATCTCATTGAATTACGGGCCTAAGCTTTGTCAACACGATGGATGTAGATTTCAGCTACAATCTGTCTTTTCAGCCGCGTCAATCGCCGTTGAAGTTCCTGTTCAGGCATGCGACATTGTGAACCAACAAATCTATTTAGTCTAGGACCATCTAGACCACGGCTTTCCCAACCATGGCTTCCCTACCCCTGTGTTTATGTTAGGCATTGCAACAAGGAGAATGACAAGGCTTCTCAACTTCGCCATCAATTCCGTCCAGCAACTCTTTCAAAATAGCCCTGTTTGCAACAATTTACCGACAGCCACCGAACCCAATTCCGATGCTCATCTTCCAGATGTCATTTTTTCCGGATCCGGTACAAACAACCATGATTCGACACATAAATCCATCACGTATGACTACCAGGAATGGGTCGCTCTCCATGTCATCGGTCACAACAGTCCGACGATCATCCTTGGCAGTAGGCATCGTGAGGGTCTCAATTTTTTCAATGACTATCCCAGGTATGTCCATAATACTTGTGAAGTAGCAGAAATAGAAAGGCCTTCTCCGATTTCAGTTTGGCAAATAATTCCAATAGTTGTCATAACGATTGGGGTGGAAGGGCTTACCAATGAATTCAAGAAGGCACGCAGTGTGCTTAAAACAGCGGCCCGCAGTATTTTGATGGGTGGTAACTTGGTTGAAGTTTATTTTGTGCACCTTCCATTTTAACAAATTTCCCCATAGTTCCATGTTATATTCGTAAAGCACAATGGGATCATGGTGTAAGTTATTGTGCTTCATACATAAGTTGGCCCTTGAATTTCAAGCAATGGGATCCTGGAGAGCTGTTTTCAAGAACTGACCTTCACCTTGAGAACAAGGTGAAAGTTTTAGGGGGGGGGAGTATTGATACGATCCTATCCTAGTCAGCAAACGGTTTAGAAGGGTGCATAGAAGGAAGAGAAGCAGGGGAATATTGCATAATGCTGAGTCAGCAAAAGTTGTTAGGAGTAAGTCACATTGGATGACATGGGGTCACGTTGTCAAAATTCTGAAGGGGATCGGGAATCTTAGTAGTGACTAGGCCCTTTGGGGATTGGGAGAGAGTGAGACCTCTAAAATTGTCTCACGTTTATCCTTTAATTTTCTGCATTTAATTTCCCTTCCAAGTTCAGCGTAATTTTCCTTGTTTCTTCAATTGTCTCTGTCAAATTGTCTCTGTTTGTAATCGTCTTTGATGAATATATGGAAAACTAATTATTCAGGCCAAAATTCTCTTATTGTTTGCTGATATATCAGTATTTGATTTGTTGGTTCTCATCATATTGCAAGTATCCAAATTACCGTAATTACTTGATTCTGACTATCATATTTACATAATCAGCAAGATACTATTTACAGAGTTAATATGATTACCAACAAGTTGAATGAATTTAACACATGACAAAGTGGAAATGCATGCTAACCTATGAAAGCATAGCATAAACTGTCACCAGTCTTTTGATCACGGATGATTTCAGCCCTATCATCAAATATTTCAGGTGAAAACTACAGTATGTAAATATGATATTACTAAATGTGATGCCAAGTCAACTGTTCAATATCACTCACGAGGATACAGTCCCAAAGCGTGAAAATATTGTATGCAAGTCATCATCCTAAAATTTAAATAGAACATTATTAATAGTTAAGAAAGTACTAAATGGTACCTCAGTAGAAATCAGGGGAATAAAGGACATGATACCAATTGATAACACAACACAAAAAGGATCGCTTACCTCAGTAACAGGGTTCAATTTACAGACAAATAGTACATTGTCTGGAGGCTTAATATCAGCATCAGGAATATCCCCAATCTAAAATAAGGAAGAAAAGGGAGTTATATACGTAGGATCATAGTCACACATGAAGTACAATATTTTTCTTTTGGATAATATACTTACACTCTCAAGTACAACTGCCCTAGAATGTGCTTCCTTTGATCTAATAACCTCTTCAAGCTCTGTTGGGTCCAATTGTTCATCCATTGGCACCCAATCATCTTCAAGTCGCACGTCATCATCAACCTAGTAAAATTGCATTAAGTCATTACTTTGAAGTTTGAACAGGTATGCTTACTGAACACTGTAAAATTGAAGTATTTACTATAAGGTTTGAATAGATAATAAATGCATAACAATTAAAACTCAATATAATCATCCATCTATAGCATCATCATTCATCTCCATATTAGTAATACGGTGACTGTCAGAAAATATTAATTTTTAATATCACAAGAATCCAATAGTCAGGTAATCAGTTCTTGATTCATTGTTATAACTTGCGAAAAGTATCAAGAAAATCTCAGTCTTTATGCCAAGTATTTTATATAAAAATAAAATTTATTTCAGTGGGAAGAAGAATCACAAAAAATAGGGGAAGATAAGATATTCTCCTGAATTAACAGACATTATGTACAGAAATTAAACAAATATATCAGTGCAAAATTAGTTAAATAACTCTCCTATCCCTTTGCATATCTGTCATGGAACACCTCTGAGGAACCACGAAAGCAAAACTAAAGTGAGGCCAAAAATAAAATCTAATCCTATAGAATATCTATTGACAATAAAGCTTGCTATAAAAATACAAGAATTACCAAATACAAGTGACACCATGAACAGAACAGTACGACAAATGTCATAGCAAGTATTTTATTCATCATATAGCCTCTAAAATCAGTATTTTTATTTTTTTTCATTTTTTTAAAATGTCTGTATTTTAATGAAGTATCCCAAGGGTAAAGAGTCAAAATACAGACACCTCTACAAACAAACTTGTCACAATTTTTCTAAATCTAATTAATGCAACTTCAAACATACTGCTTAAAAACGTGTCTAAAGGAGTACCCAATGGCTTTGCCCATATGCTCGAGTCAATAAAATTGAAGTCAATTAACATAGTTTTTTTTTTACAAATGGACTCAATTTGACAAAAAATTTGTTTTATAACAGAAAGGACCATAGTGATGCTAATAAATAACCTATATCAAAATTTTACTTTGTTTCAAGCTATGAAATACAGTGCTGCAATCAACCATTACCTCATCTTTGGGTTTTCCTTCTGGTGAAGCTTCAGGAATGAACTCAGCTAGTTGAGGAGGATCATCAAAAGGATCCTCCAGAATGTATGTGTGCTTGATTCTGTTGAAGTAATTCAAGAAGATGAATACATTACATTCTTCTGAAAATGACAAATACGAAAACACCATTTTCAATCCACATTTCTTAGTAGAGAACAATGACAAACCGGATATTTTTATATGGTCTGCTTTTCACATCCACATAAGCTTCATTTATTCTAGTCAAAGTCTCAAATCCTTCAGCTACCTCACCAAAAACCTACAACAATGGACAATTCTCAGAAACCAAAGAAGTTATTTCCATGGTATAAAAGTCAAATGAGATTTAAATAATCGAATTAGTACTTCCAAATCAATGGAATTGAGCTACACTTCATTCTTGATGACAATCTTAACCATTGCTCTTTTTTCATTTTACTTCATGCTTGGCCTAGAGGGACAGATCTTCTCTTTTGGGCTGATTTACATTTCCTTAAGGGGACGTTTGGTTGAGGAGAAATTTTTTGAATACTAGGAAAATGTAATTACTAGGGAAATGGTTGGAAAGTGAGTTTGGTAGGAAAATGTAAAAAAAGTTGTTTGGTTGGAAAAAAAAATTACTGGAAAAATTTGGTGAATATTATAAGTCTATGTTTGGTTGAAGGTAAAATATTGATGGGAAAATGAGTTGCAATTACCAAAACAACCCTTTTATAATTTTTGAATGTGAATAACCCTTTACCCAAAAACATTCGTGAATCTGAGTTTGGGTAAAGAAGAGGATTTAACACCGCAAGTCTGGGAATTGCACCGCGAGTTGGAACTTAGATATTGATGGTTTAACATTTGCCAACTTCAATATCTAAGTTTGGATCTCTGTCTTTCTCTCCGTCGCAACCATCATAATGGCACCGCGAGTCTGAAATTTCAATGAACACTGACAAAGAAGAGGATTTTGGACAGCATGTTGGCTACTAGAAACCCATACGGTGTTAAGATGGCTTTTTTTCCAGATCTGCTGCTGTGGTGTCTGCAGGGTTGTGCCCATTTGCAACGGCCATGTGTTGATGGGGGAGGGTATATTTGTCAGCAAAATGTTGCTCTTTGTTTCATTTAGCCGGAGAACTCCAAATACCATATCCCAAGTGGTATTGTATGCTAGTCTATTTTGAGCAATTTTACAAGCAAACATCGATTGATGGGAGAATAGCTTTGCTAGGAAAATATTCTAATCTCTTCTACCAAACATGGTATAACTGAAATACCAATCTCAGATGCCTATCTATCTTCTAAGATAACTCCAACCAAACACTACCTAAGTTTATTTTTACTGTCCCTTTCTATAACTAAAAGATAAGAATCTTAAAACACAAACTGCTGAAAAGGACTTATTAAATATTATCATTATTAAATATTGAAATAGAACTCATAGTTCAGTCATCCTCTCATTTAACCCCTTGTCATTATTGCAAAAACTTAACACTTGGGCCACGGGAAATAAAAATACAGAACTCCTATCTCCATATCCAGAAAAAGTATAATATGTAATCAATGTAAGGATGCACATGTACCCAGTGAAACAATTAAAGCAGGGATGCACAGAATACTTACTGTGTGCTTTCCGTCTAGGTAATCAAGGTCATCACGCAGACTGATATAAAACTGAAATTAGAAACAAACAAGACAATAGTAATAGAAAATTTAATTTGTGCAATGTGTTAATTACTCAAGCTATACATATGGTTGTCAAGGGAAAGAACATCAAAAATTGTAAATATGTTCTTTCTTTAATCATATCACAGGAAACAAATCCTCCACCTACCACCAAAACAATGTCATACCTGTGAAGCATTCAGATTCTCTCCTGCACTTGCCATCGCAACCGTTCCAGTCTTGGAATGCTTCAGATCAATATGAATTTCATCGCTGAAAAACCGAGCTTGTTCACCATAAAGAAACCTGTAAAAAGGAGGCCATCCCACGAAACGAGAATGCAATGTCAGAAACAGAACACACACACACACATATATATATCTGTGAATATAAGACATTAACTAAATGTTGAAACAGTTAGGGTTTAGTACTTGTAGATGGAATCACCACCACTCCCACTTCCAGTGGGATCGCCAGTCTGAGCAGTAAAATCCTTTTGAACAGTGTGAAATAGACACCCATTATAGTACTTAATCCTGGGCCAACAAAGAGCATGCATGTTATGATCTGAACAAACACCATACATATATGCAAATAGCACAACACTAAATAAAATTTCAAAAAAAAAAAAAAAAACCAAGTTCAGAGTAACATGGAGCAAGTTATGATTCTGAACAAACAATCCATATATGTAAATAGCATAACAGTGCATAATTTAGTAAAAAAAAAAAAAAGGAAAGACCCAATAGCTATAACAAAGTTGAATAATTGTAATAAAGGTGGTTACTCAAATTTAGGGTTTAAGGGTTTGTAAAAGAGACTGACTTGCAAAGCTTCAAGAAATTCTTGCAGGTCAAGGGGCACTTTTGGGTGTGCAAATCGACCACCATGTCCCCTAAGCTCGTCACGATCAACACCGACATCTTATGAATTGAAGAAGCACCCACTCCCGAATTGGGCTCGGAGTTAGCTGAAACCACAGCCCCTTCTTCTCCTTTCTTGTTCTCTGTTAGTCTTCCCTGCTCTTCGTTCGTGGGTTTCAGCAGATTCAAACAAGAAAATGAATAAAACTAAAAACAAAATTCTCAATTTATTTATCGGCAATATTTTTCCCTTTAAAATATATAATTGTGTTATTTTAAATAATATTTTATATTTAAGATTTAAATTTAAAAAAAAATCACTTATTTTATTTCTCATAATTTTTATTATTTATGTATTTCTTTCCCTTAAAATAACATAATTCCATATCTTATTATATAGCATATTTGGTATCAATTATTTTTTTAATAAAATCCCCTCTATAAAATTAAAAATAACTAATCTTGAATATTTTCTCTTATTTGTAAAGTAATAATTATATTATGCATTGTAGGAGTATTTTTAAATTTTAAAAAAAAATTAGTGTAACTTAAAATATTTAATAAGAAATGTAAATAATTAATAACTAAATTAGATAAATTTAAAAATATATACTAAAAAATTATAAAATTATGAAAAATACATATTCAAAAAAAAAAAAAAAAATATTATTCTTACAAATATATATATATATATTATTTTTTTATTTTAATATATGAGCATGGATTTTATCCACTTATTACCTAAATATTTTCCTCTCTCAATTCATTTGAATTTATAGGTGTCAAACATCCACAGTATTGGACCAGAGTGACGAGCCCAATTCCCAGTTTCACACTATAATCCAAGCTGCTAAAAACAGTGGAGAAGGGAAGCACGCCTAGCAGAATCAAGAAAAGGTCCAACCAAATATTTTGATAAGTTCTAGATTCAAAGCTCAAAATTATTATTGGAATTAAAGGGAGCATGAGTGTAGAGAGACTATAATAAAGGTGCAGTATGGGAAAGCATGAGTTACATTGCAGTTTTAGCCTTTTTGGTTTTCAAGAAGGATGGGATGGGACCCGGAGAATATATAAATATGATAGAGTTGTCAATCAAATTATCATCAATTACATATTTTCCATCACATGACTTGATATATTAGGTTGATTTGATTTTAGATGTTTCATTCTTTTAGGTGTGTGTATTGGTAATTTATTTGTAATCAAGTATATCTAAAAAAAAATTGGCCATATTTTAATTACATTTTTGGGTTATTTGACATTGTACATGTAACACCTCATTCAAGACTGGTTTATTAGTATTGCATATTATATTAAGTACAATTACAATTAGAGTAAAGGTGAAGGATTTCTGTAGTCAATGAAGATAAGTTATCTTCGGTGAGCCCATAACGACGTCGTTTTGGGACAAAAATCAAGGTTGTTCTGCCTTGGGCAGATGTGTCCGACCGTAGGTCGGGTATTTGATGTTGGATCTAGGGCTCTCTCTCTAGATACCAATGAATTAGGTATCTTGGGGACAGCGAATCACCACACACTATATGATGGCCGCAGCCTGAAGGTGTGTGTGTGCACTGTCATGATTGCATAAAATAGGGCTAGAGAGATCAGCCATACCTGTGATTTTTAGCTCCTATTTATAGAGCTTACCTTTGGGCTTGTATTGGTTGGGCTTCTTGTAGTCGTGGGCCTTTCCTCGGTCCATAACAGTTGCCCCCTAGCCCGGTAGACTGAGTGTTCAGGTTGCCGGGATGTCCAAGTCAAGTCGATTGCTGTATGTGCTTTAACTTGTACGTTGGTCATCTGGCCGTTGTGTTTGTTACTTCGGCTCCGAGAAGGAGAGCTTTCCCAGGTTTCTACAAGCATTACTGTATCCGTGGTGTTCTATTGCCAATTCCATCCGGGTTCTCGGTCATGCGTCCCTCTTAGACTAGAAACTCGGTCACTTATTTCGGCAACGTAGAGAATGATTGTATTAACTGTTGTCTGATGATTGCTTTGAATTGAGAAACGATTTCCCTTCCACCTAATGATTACTTTTCCACGTACTCCTTTCCAATAGGCACGACGTGTGGCATGGTGTGTTTCTCGCCGCCTTGGCATTTATTGCTTCTGAAAAACGTCTTTCAACTGTCCTGTCCACCTGTAATTACCGCAATGCCCCTGTCCTTTGGCTTTCGCGGGTTTAACCTTTCAATTTCAACCCCCACATTACCATTTTCAGTTTTTCAGACCATTTGCCTCTTTCGTCGTCCAGAATCATTTGCCAGTATTCACATCATTTTCCTTCAGCGTTCACCATCTTCTACGTTTGCCAATTCCCAGTTTCCTCAACGCTATTTTTCGCAGGTACTTTCCTTTGGCATTTCTTTCCTTTCTGCCGCATTCTCCGTCAATTTTTTAACTTGGCCATGGCCTTTGGTTTTACAGTGCTTCATTTATTCCAGACTTACTTGCTTGCTTCTTTCCTTTGCATGTGCCAACCTGCATTTGTGACGCATCATACTGTTTTTGTCTGATTAAATTCTCTGTACTAGTCTTGCATTGTTTATATAAGCTTATCTGCTGCCCGTTCACTTCCTACGCACCCTGCTTTGAATAGTTTCTGATATGGGTGAGAGAAATTATATTATTCAAGGACGACCCTCTTACCCACGCATCTTCGGTCGTGGTGATGAGATTGATGCCGAAGAAGGAGAATGACACACGGAAGAAGAGGAAAGGTTCATCCAGAGCCTACCTTCTGGTCCGAGGTATTGGTTGTATGGCAGGCCTCGAACCGAGGAAGAAACCCAGGCTGCTTTGCTAGGCGGCTATCGAGGTGGTGGCCATAGGGGAGCCTCTTCATCTCATTCTTCGGTCCGTGGTCGCAGGGGGGTCTTCGATGTAGACGGGCTTCCTCTCGCCCTTCAGCCCGGGGTCGAAGTTGGGGTCCCTGTAACCTAGGCAATCCATCCAGGACAACTTCGTCCTCTCTTCCCTTATATTCTACCCCGATCCATGCTATTACATCTGCTCCCTTTCCGAATCCAAGTGTGAGAGTTCCTTCTCGATCAAGTATTATCAATCCTGAGCCTTGTTTCAACTGTGTATACCTTAGTGCTCAATTTGTGGAGAGGGGGAATGACTTCATGGCTAACCTAGTTATGGGCAGCTGGTCACACACCCCGGGTTCGACAACCCCTGCTCCTATTTTTGAATTTGACGACTCTAGTTCCTCTGACAGTAGTTTGTTTAATTTGGGTACGTATCCCTTGTGCTACGTGCTATTCTCTCTTTTTAATCCTCCATTTTACTGTTCTAGGTATTTATAGAGTCCCATTCTACAGAATCGAATGCGAATATCGCTTCCTCTAGCCAAGGTCCAGAGGCCGGGATGAGTACAGCCGAGAAGGGTTCTGCACCCGTCACCGATAATCTTCGTACTCAATATCCATGGGTTACAGAAGAGGTGTTGAGCTTTGCATCCGAGATGTCAACCGAAGAAGTGTCTAGGCTTCCTATCGGCAATCCGGTTGACTTTGATACTTTCGTTCCTGCAGATGACGAACCTGTTTGTTCAGGTCGGAACCTTGAAGAGCCACACTCTTTTTTCTTCTATCGAGATCTGGTGACAAAGATTGGGATTCGGTTTCCCTTCTCCCCGTTCAAGATACAACTCCTAAATCACCTACTACTCGCGCCAACCCAGATCCATCCCAATGGCTGGGCTTATATTGTTGCTTTTGAACAACTGTGCGACTCGTTGTCCCTTCCATGTACTGTTCCCCTGTTTTTGCATTTTTTTACCATTTACACTCCACGTACCGGCTCGGAACCTCCTAAACTCAAGGGGTGGAGTAGCATTCAAGGCCGAGTTAGCAAACCCTCCCGAAGGCTATTTTCTGGGTACAACGATTCTTTCAAGGGCTTCAAAGCCTATTTCTTTAAAGTGGTGGCCGAGGTGGGAAAGAGGCCATGGTTCATTGGTGATAATGGGGAACCCATCTTTCCCCTCTACTGGACTCAGGATCACCACCGTCGCAAGCCTGTCGACTTCAAGCTGAGGCTGTCACAAGAAGATAAGGATAATGCCAAGACTTTGCTGGCCCATGTGGGTTCCAAGGGTCATTTGAGCGCAGCCTCTTTAGTAGCCAAATCTCATTCTGTCACAGAGCCTACCAGTATGCTTTGCGTTATTTAAATCCTTGCTACTTATGTTATTTTCCTGTTACTGTTACAACTTGTTTTTATTTGCAGATTCTGACATGAATTTTGATGAAGAAGAGGAAGGGCCAGGTCCGGATTATATTTTGTCCTTAACAGGCCAAGCCTCTGCTCTGCCTGCACCCCCGGCGAAGAGACCTAGGACAGCCAGCCCGGTTGCGGCAGCTTCCACCTTGGCTTTGAATTCTAGCGTCTCCATCCTGGATCTCACTAACAATTGTGAGAATACGGAGACTGATGCAAATCTAGCTCCTCCGACCTCGGCTAGTGGGGGCGGAACACATGCCGTGATAACTCTTCCTCGGGGTACTCCTGCTCCCGCCGCTCTCCCAAGCGGACTTAGGAGGGAAGCGTTGTGGGACTCAGGGGTGACAGCCGAGTTCCGGGGTGTCGTCCGTCCTCCTCCTCCATTTTTTGGTTCTGGAATTATCTCGAGAGCCGAGATGGAAGAATACAGAAGGCCGAGCTTTATACTTTCAAGACTGCCTCAATGGTGAAACCATATTCCTTGCTGCTTGAAAAACATTCTGAAACTATTTCCGAGCTAGATGAGCTCCGTGTGAGGTATGGTAAAGCTGTTCTTGTCAATGAGGAATTAACAAATAATTCTGTTGAATTAAAAACTTCTTTGGAGAACTCCCAGGTAGACCTGAAGTTTATTTCTGACGCCGTCGGCGTTACCCCTGGTAAGGATAACATCATAAAGCGGTTCAAAGATCTATCCGACACGCTGGAGGATAAGAATTTAAAGGTTGTCGGGTTGACTGCTGAGATTGATAAGTTGAAGTCGGATCTTCAAAATTTGCAAAAAGCTTATGATTTTAACCATTCCTCTCTTCAAAAGGCCTCCATAAGTGCCTTCAAAAATGGTGTTAACCAGGTAAGGTATTTTAACCCTGAATTCCCCTTAAGGCTCGACCAGCTTGACTGCTTTGGC